TCACTTCACAGTGTTGGTGTCATGCAAGTTTTTTTTTTTTTTTCTGCACAAAGAATATATGCACATGGCACTAGTTTTGTGATGGGACTAGGGCACATAGAAAACAATTGGTTTTCTTTTGTAGCCTTGTAGAGACAGGTGAGAAAACCGCACGGTTTTGCACATGGCGTGTACAGGCCTAATGTTGTCATGCTTTTTCATAAGATTATAACATCATTGCAGAAACTGAGATGTTTACTATATCAACACTAGAATGTAGGACAGCTTATGAAACAGAGTATGTACCCTAGTTTGACTACAAGATGGAAACAAAGATATGGTATTAAGGAACTAAATATGGAACTAATATGGTATTAAGGAACATGCTGGAAAATAAGCCACATGGTGACCCAGAGAGACAAACAGGGCCATGCTGTAGTTTTATGGGGTGGTGTAACCCTCCAGGAAAAATATTTCATAGTAAGAGACAACATCTCCTATTCTATGAGTAGGCCTAAATCAAGACCCACGACTATAGCGATTAGAGATTGTGTTTCCTGACCACAAATAAGCATATATCTGGAAATGGAAAAAACAAGCTTGTTTGTATAGCAAGTAGAAGCAAAATACAGAGGCTGGAGAATGAATGTAATTTCTGTTGAAGGCACCATGGGTCCTCACAGGGTTCTGGAACTAGAACTTTAATATGGAGGACTGGAGACACAAATGTAAAGCGGAACTAAACCCTCCTATCTTTTTCAGCCAAGGAAGCTGCCATCTTAACCTTTCTTTGATCTTCAACTGCTATGATGCTGCACATGTGATCAGTTATGATACCAGCCATTTGATGGTTTGACAGTTTGGTTGAGAGCACAAGTAATTGTGACACTTAGCATTCCGGGCAAGTGGTGGGAATGTAACTTTTTTTAAACTGTTAAATGGGGGGTTTACTTCCACTTTAAGTGAATGCACTCACAACATTCAAATTCCGTGAGCCTTATAGATTTCCATTTGATCAGTGTCAGCCTTAGATATGCATTACCTGGGAAACTGAATACAGAGCCATGTTATCACCTATTACACTTAAAGCGTAGATACGCTGCATCTGAGCACAACAAACCAAAAATGCTATTTACTTAAGTTTTCATATTCAAAGCAAACTCATCCATCCATTTCTCCATGCTTTATTTTGCTGAGAAATCACTTTGACAAACACTTCCCTAGCATTTCTGGCTGCAGCCATCTTGAGTAAAGGCAGATGATTCATATAGCAATTACTTACTGGAATCCACCTGCCCTTACCTCAGGCATGCAGTCAGGAGGGTGTGTTTAGCTGAGAAAAAGCCTCCTCCCCTCCTAAAGACTCCTGGGATGTATGCCATCTTTTGCCTAGACCAGGAATCAAGATATACTTTCCTATCTATTTATTAATGCTAAAAGCATACAGTTTAAAAATAGTCAATGTTGATTGAGAGGGTGAAATTCTGCTTTAAGTATTTTATTGGTGATGGAATGGTCAAACCTGGATATCAATCACAAGCTTGAACTACACAGTTCATATGTTTTCATTAACATCAAGGTGTACTGAGCTGCAAGCAGAGGCAGAGAGGGGAAAGCATCACATGCTCAGTGTAAGCGATATTTATTTTCTGCTTTTCTGCCTCTTAACTGGGGCTACAGACAAGGAGTCAGGAGAAGTAAAAAATCTTCTTCACAGACCTGATTGATTCAGTATCATCACTGCCAAGAGCCATAACCAATAACTGGTATGCAGCTTTGCACTCATGCAACCAGTGGAGATCACAAACTGCAAGAAGTCTGGCGATCTGTGGACTTGCATGTAAAGAAAATCATATACACAAATATGATTTTTAACCCCATAACGACACAGTAAACACATATATGCGGAGTCCAGGAGGTGGGCTTTAAACATGATAAAATTTGTTAATTACTTGCGAGCCACTAATAAGAGTAGAAAAAGGATCGCTGACAATATCACGTTCTCATACTGTGTATATAAAACAAAAAAAAAACTCTACATGTTGCGCTTCCAATATACTACAAATATCAATCAAAATAAACAATAAAACAAGTATATCAAAAATAACAACTTGATTAAATTATAACAATATAAAAAAAAACGTGAATCTCAAAATAATCCCCAGAAAAAAATGTGTTATTAGACAAAAACGTCCCTTGGATCATTCAAAAAAAAAACAAGAAGAAATAATTATATTGTCACGACCAACCTGTCACGGGTCCCCCACACACGCCACGCCCACAGCGACTAGCTAACCGAGACGCACACGTGCAGCCGTGACCGGGAGGTAAAGAGGGGATCAAGGGGACTTACACTTTGAATATATAAAACCGTATATAAGATCAGCCATGACACTTTCACAGCCCGCACTACCTCTGGCCACCACCAGATGGAGACTCCCCTCCAATCCAGCTGGTTGATCACATACTGGCAGATACAAATCTTACATACAACCTGGTGCACTGATTAGAGTTGAGGACCAGCTTAGTAATTACCCACCCTTCTAAGGTCGCTCCAGCTATCTACAGCTTGAACCCCGGTGTTAATCACCCTTCCACTGTCCACACCCCCCCCCCCCCGCACCAGACACACCACAAAAGGTAGCCTGCCACCACCCAACAGTTTATCCGCAGAACGGTCTGTTGAGACACCACACACACACAGATCTCCGTTTGGCAGGTCTGTTACCTTTGCAATCTGCATACAATCTGCCCACACACAGTGCAATTGCATACAGATTGGCAATGAGCTTGACCGAGAGTTTAAAGGCACTAAAATACGATATAATCTAATCCAATATAATCTATCCAATCCAATCTCTCCGAAGATATGAGCACGTGCTTAAATACACAGAAGTCACTAATTATTTTAAGATTTAATTTCCCGAAGTGGGCAGTGCATAAAATATGTACAAAGTATAAAAAGTTACAGAAATACAAGAAGACACACAAATGACTAATTACTATAAAATAAAAGGGAATAAAAGACAGAAGTAAAACTTTACCCTGCAACTGGAGCAAGTCAGAAAATCAGCAATCCGTTGGTCGATCGAAATAGCTCCGTACGAATTACAAATGTCCCAATGCCTGGTTACTCCTTTTATGGGGATATGGCCGTAAGCAGGACATTAGTCCTCAGCCAATTGACCATGGGGGGCTGCTCCTGCACCCGCCCACAGTAGGTACTGTGTGCTGACCTGCCCAAGTTCAATCGGGCCAAGACTGGCTTAAACACCAAGTCGGGGACTGGATTTCCGACACCAGCGCATCAGTCCGATCGCGACAGCACCAAACACCATTCGACTGTCGCGATCCAGCGCCACCTAACTATTTCCTGCATTTTCCTGGCATTCTCCCTAAACCACAAATATGATATTTATATAAAGATGTAGCGCACAGAATGCCCTACAAGAAGAGAGCATGTTCATATCTCTGCAACTAATATTTTAGCTTTTATGAGAGATTAAACATACCCCTTTTGATGTATGGATCCCATTTAGAGCTTTCAATGTCAGGCAGACACCCTGTCTGCTTATCATTTCCTCCAAACCAGTTCTCCCAGAAGGTGCCAACCTTATCAACACACAAGGTGTCACATCCAGGAAGCCTGGCTTTTCAACCTAATTGATGCTAATTGATGACCACTGTCTGAGTATTGTTTATTTTGATTTGATTGATATTTGTAGTATATTGCGAGCGCGACATGTAGAGTTTTTTTTCGGCTTTAAACATGAGTGCAGAGACCAGGCTCTCACCAAAAACCCTGGTCTCGTACTAATGATCAGGACCCGGGCACCTGATCACTGTGATAGCCTCTGATTGGCTATCATAGTGGTCAGTCATTGTGCAGCCCGTCAATGTGTTTTCTTTCTCTTCTGAATGGAGAGAAAGATACATTACATCTTTCTTACCAGCAACAGGGAAAAGATACAAACAAACAAACAAACAAAAGCGTGTAAAAAAAAAAAAATTTATATAATATATATATATATATATATATATAAATAAAATAGGCAGATCACGGTTTCATCTATGTCAGTGTCGGCAAGGTACATGACAAAGGTATATTTTATAGGATTTGAAAAGAAAAAAAAAAAAATAAGGTTATTTTTTTAAATTAGTATTAGTGTCAGTGTGATGACAAAAAGCAAAAAAAAAAGCAAAATGTGCACTATTGTTTCTGGGCCCTACTACGGGTACAAACAACAACTAACATACACATATGTGGTATCACTGCGATTGGCAGGAGCAGAAGAATTTATTTTGTGTTGTTCTTTGGTGGTAATTTATGGTAACAGCAAGAATTATACAGCTAAACTAAAAAAAAAAAAAAAAAAAAAATTATATATATTATAATTTTTTTTTTTTTACTATTAGGATAGTTTCTCTTTGATTAAAAAAAAAAAAAAAATCAAGTGATATCGGTTACTATTTATCATCAAATAAAAGACCAATTTGTCCCGAAAAAAAAAAAAAAGGTATAACTGCTATAACAAAGCAGTTACGTTAATATGTACAGTTTTACTAACACATCAAGGATGCAAAATTGGGTTCTGGGCGTTAAGGTTTGTTTTACTTTCAGTCATGAAGTGTCTCTGTACTAGGTACACTTTACAGGAGAGACCATACGCCCACTAAAACTGATCTTCTGAAAGACTACCTGAGAACCTTAAGTCAGGCAAATCAAAATTTACACAGGAATGAGAACTTTCTTCCTCATTACCACGATTGTATTTAAGACTGGCAATTGGCTGCATCATAGAGTGAAAGGGTATGTGTTTACCTACCTATATGCATAAGCATTACTCAGGAAGCGTGGTGGCAGTTCATGAGCCCTTTTTTAAATGTCATGCATACCCCTTCTAGTATTGCTTGCATGGACACTATAAGAAATTAACAAGACAACTTGTAGCAGAATGCAAACTTCACATTTCGAAGGACAGGAAAGCTTTGTGTCAGCCTGACAAAATATGCCTGCTCACCTTCAGTTGTTCTGCAAACCGGATCTGGTCTCCACAGATCTCCTTTAGATACTTGTGCCCCAGGTTCTGTGCCATGAGGTTCTCTGCTGTGTGCTGGATGACAAAGTTCAGATTCTGGATGGACATGACTGACAGAACAGGGTCACATACCCTGAAGTGGACATCTGCTCTCAATGACACCATCATATGATCTAGAGATTTCACCTAGAAACAAACATTTTTTTATGTAAGGAATCATCATTGCAGTGGAAGTACAGCTGGATTTCTTCCTATAGACATATTCATTATAAAGTCCAAAGTGTCTTTAGTGCATACACACAGCAAGACGGCTCTCCATGTTCACATTTATTTTATCTGTGTTTTTTGTGTGTATTATCAGGTAAAACTAAGTTCAGAACCTATGCATCACAGTTTATAATCAAAATAAGAACTTTTAAAGAAACTTTATTAAAATCAAGATACATATATATTTGGGGCTGTTGACTACCTGGATAGTGGAATTCATTTAGCCCTTGAAATCTAAAACCATTTAGAAAGTGTGAACCCTGATTCACACTTTAAAATGATCATCTGGGCTCTGATTTAATGGCTAGAGCTTTACTTCACCTAGCTCAATGGTAGTCAACCTAAAAATTATAGAGGGCCTCAATTGTGGCCCCAGACACTTCCAAAGTGCCACAGTGCGTTTGTTGTGTTGAGATGCATTGCATTGAGTTAGGCTGTCCATTAAAAAGAAATGGGTTGCAATACACTTCAACATCTGAAAACTTCAGTTGTGCTGAGCTTTTGCATCCTTATGTAATGGACAACTAACCCTTGCACTAGTAGTCAAAATCCATTCTATTTAAAGCCCCCACAATGGCGGTCAGTGGCGTTATTGTTTAACCTTGCCCCACCCCTGTTCGTGGTCAGTAACAGTATAATGTAAACCTCCCCCCTATTAGTGGTCAACAGCAGTATTATGTAAGCCCCCCCACATTGGTGATTAATGGCTGTAAAATTTAACCCTCTCAACATTGGTGATCAGTGGCTACTTACCAGATCTCAAGCTCCTGTGCCTCTCTCCCCACCATCTTACCATGTTTATACTTGTACAGTCAAGCAGAGATCATTCCACCTGACAGTATTAGTTTTGCTTTAGTGGTAGGTGCTAGAATGCAGAGAGTGTTGGTGTCCAGCAGGTGGCAGATCCAGCCCAGAACATGGCAGGCCACACAATGAGAGCTGGCAGTCTGTATGCTATTATGTAGTTTGTCAATCAGCACCTGGCCACACCTAGTCCTGTCCACTGCTTGAAGGTTTTTGTTTACTTTATAAGGCTTGTATAAGTGGATTTGGTGCTTGTTTGCACTGTCACATGGAAGCCCTTAGCTGGCATGCAATGCCAAGCTGCGGTTTCTAAAGTGAGCAAAATCCTCTCTATTAAAAAAGGTATAGACTCCAGAGAGAGATATCATTTCCCCCGGTACAAATCATTAGTAAGACCTCATCTGGAATATGCAGTTCAGTTTTGGGCACCAATTCACAAAAAGAACATTGGGGAACTGGAGAAAGTACAGAGAATGGCAACCAAACTGATAAAAGGCATGGAGGAGATCAGCTATGAAGAAAGATTAGAGGAACTGAATTTTTCTCTCTCGAAGAGGAGATTAAGGGGGGATATGATCAACATGTATAAATATATCAGTGGTTCATATAGTGAACTCTGTGTAGAGCTATTCACCCTGAGGCCATCATAGAGGACAAGGGAGCACTCTCTTTATGTCTGGAGGAAAACAAATTTAATCTCCAAACACGGAAAGGTTTCTTCACAGTGAGAGCTGTGAAAATGTGGAATAGACTCTCTCAAGAGTTGTTTCTGACCAGCTCAGTGGATTGCTTCAAAAAAGGCCTGGATTCTTTCTTGGATACACAGAATATAACTGGATACTAACATTTATAGGTAAAGTTGATCCAGGGAATATCCAATTGCCTCTCGGGGGTTAGGAAGGAATTTTTTACCCAGCAGGAGCAAATTGGATCATGCTTTGCTGGTTTTTTTTGCCTTCCTCTGGATCAACTGTGGGTATAGGATAATATTTTTTTTTTTTTTTATGGTTGAACTGGATGGACTTTTGTCTTTTTGCAGCCAGACTATGTACTTTAAGGTGGCACTAAAGTTCCGCTGTTACTCACTGTGAGCAGGTGGGCTTTTTATTGCCAAAAAGAGATGCAATGTTTTTACTGCAATAAAACACACCTACCTGCCATCTAACAGCAATTTTTGGCATGTAAAATGAGCTGAGCATGCGCAGGTCAGTTTACAGCGGCCAGCCTGATCACTGTGTGCTGGGATGACTAGCCCTTTCCTTTAGGTAGACTTTAAGTATAATATTTATATACTTCTATTTAAATACCAATGTAATATTGTGGTTCAGTGACAACAGCTATAATACACGAACTTCTAGTGGTCCCTCACATTCTGGCTGCACAAACACATATAATTTTTTCTTTTGATGAAAGTTGAATTTTATCAACTAATCCATCAGGCATTAAATGCAATCATTAAGTACAACATCAATGGTAAATTTGCCTGCAATAATCCAAAATCAACCATATTGTGTTTTGATCAGTTGGCTTCTTTGAAAAGAACCGACACACATAGTTATATAGTGACATAGTTAGTCTGGCTGAAAAAAGACAAAAGTCCATCTAGTTCAACCATAGAAAAAAAGTTTTAATCCTATACCCACAGTTGATCCAGAGGTTCACATAGTGATTCCTTTAAAATAAATCAACTGAAATGATGCGGGCACAAATTATTTCTTCGAATGGTCATTTTCTGAAACACTTCACTTCAAATATACATCTAAATCAGGCTGCAACTGTAATCTTTGACAGCCAACAGACAGAGTTGTACAGTGCTGTGACAGTGTTTTCACACTGCTCTGTTGAAAAAAAAAACCCATTAAAAACTCATATGCATTTTTGAAGTATTTCTGGTGTGTTTTCTGGTTAACATGCACCTGTGAAATATGAGCAAGTGACACAAAAAATGCATCAAAAAATGCAACCGCGGTGCATTTTTGATACCTTTTCCACTCATTTCAATGGGGAGTGCATGCATTTTTGGTGCAGTTTTGAAAAGTGTACCAAAGATTTAGCATGCAAAACTTTTCAAAAACGCACCACACCTGCAGCGCAGTGGTGTGAAGAATGCCATAAGATTAAAAAGGAAATATTTTTCTTGCCTTTTTCTTGCATTTAAATGCAGCAAAAATGCATCAGTGTGAAAGAGCCCTCAATCGTGGAAATGAGACAGACTTTAATTCAAAACAGATGCATAATTAAAAAGTGCTCCATGGCAGTTTTTTTTTTTTTTTTTGTCACGGTACTCCTTCAAAGCAACTGAGGGAGGAAATTTATGAATAAAGCTACATAATTATGATTAGAAGTCTCAAGTTTGTCTCAAATAGTCTCACTGTTCCTGTTTAGCATGTGACAGAATTTTTCAACTCCTTTGATTGCTTCAATCCAATGTCACAAAGTCAGTTTACACGGATTGAAATACAATTGTTTGCTTGATTTGATTGAAATACTGAAACAACTAGTTCATCAAACAATCTAATTAATACATGTGTGGTCAGCATTTGCAAGAAGAGAGGGATCCCAGTTTCTTATGTGGGTTACACACATATCAATCAGAATTAATTGTTTCAAATATTCTAACAATATTGAACGTATTACAACACTCTGCCTTTCAGCTAACTTTGGGGCATTAAATCCGTTTATACACAAAATGATTGTGTTCACAGCATCAGTTGAAAATGTATCAGAGCTGTTGTACTGAAGCATTGTTCATAGAGGAGTATATGGCCAAACACACAGTATGTCTTCAGTGAGAACATAACTGTCACAGCACATGACAAATATTCTAAATTCTATTTATCTGAGGTTGGGTCATGAGACCTAATTCATCTGAGATGATGTATCTAATTTCAAAACCACACAAAAAAATAAAATCATAGATCGTAAGACTAGATACTATACAGTGAGAATATCGGAGTCTCATGCAAAGAATTCTCAGACTGAAACTTCTCAGTGTTGGACAGAATCTGGAGTAAACATAGCCATGTCCCGCTTTTGTGTTACCATGATTTGTCTGAAATTTGAACCATCTACGGCCAACTTTAGGTATGGTGGGTCAAGTGAGCTCTAGTGCTGGCCATAGACTGATCAAATTTTGACTGGCTGAATTTTAGTCTGTGTGTGGCCGTCCCTGTGTGAAATCAATTGTTAGGGCGACTTCTGTTGAATAGAGAAGTTGGAAAACTTGTGTCGGTCAGCAGCTGCCGCTTACAGTGGGGCAAAAAAGTATTTAGTCAGCCACCAATTGTGCAAGTTCTCCCACTTAAAAAGATGAGAGAGGCCTGTAATTGGCATCATAGGTAGACCTCAACTATGAGAGACAAAATGAAAAAAAAAATCCAGACAATCACATTGGCTGATTTGGAAAGAATTTATTTGCAAATTATGGTGGACAATAAGTATTTGGTCACCTACAAACAAGCAAGATTTCTGGCTCTCACAGACCTGTACCTTCTTCTTTAAGAGGCTCCTCTATCCTGCACTCATTACCTGTATCAATGGCACCTGTTTGAGGTTGTGGACAGGTGTCTTTTATACTGATAATACGTTCAAACAGTCACACTCCAAACTCCACTATGGTGAAGACCAAAGAGCTGTCGAAGGACTCCAGAAACAAAATTGTAGACCTGCACCAGGCTGGGAAGACTGAATCTGCAATAGGCAAGCAGCTTGGTGTGAACAAATCAACTGTGGGAACAATAAATTAGAAAATGGAAGACATACAAGACCACTGATAATCTCCCTCGATCTGGGGCTCCACGCAAGATCTCACCTTGTGGGGTCAAAATGATCACAAGAACGGTGAGCAAAAATCCCAGGACCACACGGGGGGACCTAGTGAATGACCTGCAGAGAGCTGGAACCACGTAACAAAGGCTACCATCAGGAACACACTACGCCGCCAGGGACTCAGATCCTGCAGTGCCAGACGTGTCCCCCTGCTTAAGCCAGTACATGTCCGGGCCCGTCTGAAGTTTGCTAGAGAGCATTTGGATGATCCAGAAGAGGATTGGGAGAATGTCATATGGTCAGATGAAACCAAAATAGAACTGTTTGGTAGAAACACAACTCGTCGTGTTTGGAGGAGAGTGAATGCTGAGTTGCATCCAAAGAACACCATACCTACTGTGAAGCATGGGGGTGGCAACATCATGTTTTGGGGCTGTTTCTCCGCAAAGGGACCAGGACGACTGATCCATGTACAGGACAGAATGAATGGGGCCATGTGTCATGAGATTTTGAGTGCAAACCTCCTTACATCAGCAAGGGCATTATAGATTAAACGTGGCTGGGTCTTCCAACATGACAATGATCCCAAACATACCGCCCGGGCAACGAAGGAGTGGCTTCGTAAGAAGCATTTCAAGGTCCTGGAGTGGCCTAGCCAGTCTCCAGATCTCAACCCCATAGAAAACCTTTGGAGGGAGTTGAAAGTCTGTGTTGCCCAGCGACAGACCCAAAACATCACTGCTCTAGAGGAGATCTGCATGGAGGAATGGGCCAACATACCAGCAACAGTGTGTGCCAACCTTGTGAAGACTTACAGGAAACATTTGACCTCTGTCATTGCCAACAAAGGATATATAACAAAGTATTGAGATGAACTTTTGATATTGACCAAATACTTATTTTCCACCATTGAACTTGTTATCAGTATAAAAGACACCTGTCCACAACCTCAAACAGGTGCCATTGATACAGGTAATGAGTGCAGGACAGAGGAGCCTCTTAAAGAAGAAGGTACAGGTCTGTGAGAGCCAGAAATCTTGCTTGTTTGTAGGTGACCAAATACTTATTTTCCACCATAATTTGCAAATAAATTCTTTCCAAATCAGCCAATGTGATTGTCTGGATTTTTTTTCTCATTTTGTCTCTCATAGTTGAGGTCTACCTATGATGCCAATTACAGGCCTCTCTCATCTTTTTAAGTGGGAGAACTTGCACAATTGGTGGCTGACTAAATACTTTTTTGCCCCACTGTATCAGTGTATTGAAGAGGATCAAAAGAGAGTCCGGATGGCTGCACTCCTCACCAGCTTTATTGACAGATTACAGGTTTAAAAACATCACAGAACGAGTTTTGCACTTACTTAGCACAGCCATCTGGAGTTTCTTTTGATCTTTTATGGGTGGCAGATGAACTGGGCTAGTACAGTTGCAAGAAAAAGTATGTGAACCCCTTTGGATTACGTGGAGTTTTGCATGAATTGGGCATAAAATGTGCTCTGAACGTCATCTAAGTCACAACAATAGAAGAACACAGTCTGCTGAACATAATACTACACAAACATTAGATGTTGCCATGGTTTAATTGCACATAACATGTAAACATTCACAGTGCAGGGAGGAAAAAGTATGTGAACCTTTGGACTTAATAACTGGTTGACCCTCCTTTGGCAGCAATAACCTCAACCAAAATGTTTCCTGTAGTTGCAGCTCAGACCTGCACAATGATCTGGAGTAATTTTGGACCACTCCTCTTCACAAAACTGTTTCAGTGTAGCAATATTCTTGGGATGTCTGGTGTGAATCGCTCTCTTAAGGTCATGCCACAGCATTTCAATCGGGTTGAGGTCAGGACTCTGACTGAGCCACTCCAGAAGGCGTATTCTGTGCTGTTGCAGCCATTGTTTTGTTGAATTACTTGTATGCTTTGGGTCATTGTCCTGTTGCATCACCCATCCTCTGCGGAGCTTCAGTTGGCGGACAGATGGTCGTACCTTTTCCTGCAAAATGTCTTGATAAACTCTGGAATTCATTTTCCCATCAATGACAACAATCCCTCCAGGCCCTGAGGCAGCATAGCAGCCCCAAACCATGATGCTCCCTCCTCCATGTTTTACAGTGGGGATGAGGTTTTGATGTTGGTGTGCTGTGCCTTTTTTTCTCCACACATAGTGTTGTGTGTTCTTCCCAAACAACTCAATCTTGGTTTCATCTGTCCACAGTATATTTTGCCAGTAGTGCTGTGGAACATCCAGGTGCTCTTTTGCAAACTTCAAACGTGCTGCAATATTCTTTTTGGACAGCAATGGCTTCCTCCGTGGTGTCCTCCCATGTACTCCATTCTTGTTTAATGTTTTCCTTATTGTAGATGTGTCAACAAAAATGTTAGCATATGCCAGAGATTTCTGTAGGTCTTTAGCGGACACTCTGGGATTCTTCTTTACCTCATGCAGCATTCTGCGCTGTGCTCTTGCAGTCATTTTTACAGGACGACCATGCCTAGGGAGAGTAGCAACAGTGCTAAACTTTCTCCATTTGTAGACAGTCTGTCTTACCATGGACACATGAACATCAAGGCTTTTGGAGGTACTACTTTTGTAACCCTTTCCAGCTTCATGCAAGTCAACAATTCTTGATCGTAGGTCTTCTGATAGCTCTTTTCTGCGAGGCATGGTCCACATCAGACAGTGCTTCTTGAAACCAGTAAACCCAAAACAGGTGTGTGTTTTTTTAAGGGCAGGACAGCTGTCAGCAACACATCCAATATCATCACACTGATTGGAGTCAAGGTTGGCTCACTCCTGGCTCCAATTAGCTCTGGGAGAAGTCATTAAGCTAGGGCTTCACATACTTTTTCCTCCCTGCACTGTGAATGTTTACATGTTATGTGCAATTAAACCATGGCAACATCTAATGTTTGTGTAGTATTATGTTCAGCAGACTGTGTTCTTCTATTGTTGTGACTTAGATGACATTCAGAGCACATTTTATGCCCAATTCATGCTAAACTCCATGTAATCCCAAGGGGTTCACATACTTTTTCTTGCAACTGTACCTTCATGCAGCAGTGGAGCAGTGATGGCTAGAGTGGAGGAGCAAGTACCTGAAGTGGTGTGTGTTTTGTAGCGATCAGTGTATTCTAACAGCAATGGATCCTGCTGTCAAAATACAATGTCCCACTGGGAGGGATTCCTCCATATATCTCATCTATGTGGATGGAGGAATCTATTACTTTTTAAAACTACCTGTCTATGGTCAGTTCAGTTTAAAGTGGAACTTTAGTTTAAAAAATAAAAAAGGGTGAACAGGCAGGAATTTTAATGCAATAGAGACATGCTTTGTCTTTTCAGCATTAAAGTTACTTACCTGCCTGTCCATCCCTGTACAGTGAGCCGCGCATGAGCAGCTCTTTTTACCGATTCAGAAATGCTGAATCTGAAATACCATGCATGCACGGAAGTGATGTCATCCCCACCCAGCCAATGACAACGGCTGCCAATCGAGACCTAGAAGCCAGCCACCCCAAGATGTCAGTGGCCAGACGGGAAGCCCCGGTATGCCGTTTTGCTGGAGTTTAGGTTAGTATAGTTCCACTTTCTACCCATATTTAGGGTGTACCATGAAACAATGTCAGTGTGCACACTCCTCCACTCTCAAACCAGCACCCCACGTCCTGTAGACAGGAGAAAAAGCATGAACAGAACAAAAACACACGGAAAAAAAAAAAAAAAGGAAAACTGTATTTTTGTTTTATACAAAAAAAATAACTAACTAAACGAACAGTATAACCCCATGGCTATTTTGAGTGAAATGACAACCTGGGAAGTAGACAAACCTAAGTTGTCCTTCAAACGTGTAGCTGGGACGGGGATGGGAGCGGGGTAAAAACCACCACCCGAAAGCCGAACTAAGCAAAGACATGCAGCCACTCAGGGCTGTACATATGCCCTGGCCACAATGCTTTGCGGCATAAGTTAAGCGGCATGTTGCATTCAGTAGTAGGCACTAATGCAGAACACAACTTGTTCAACAGAATAGGACCACACCACAACCACCCTTCGACCGCAAGCAAAGCACATAGTTGTGGCAAGGTGGGTCGCCATTCTTAGAGTTAAAACAGGGAGTGAAGAGAGGCAAGCTATCACCAACTGTCAAACACCTCTGAAAAGCAGTCCACCACAGATTCCTTTTTAGAGGATTGGCAAGGGCAGTCAAAAGTGAGAACAAGTGGAACGTTACAGTCTGTGTATGTAGGTGTGGGAACAGTGAAATGACAGTGCTAAAATGTAAACTTGTACTCACCTTAGAAGGTTGTATCCTGAATGCTCTGGATCTCATGTCTATCCTCTGAAACTGGTCAATAAAAGGAACAACCAGAACCAAGCCTGGACCTTTGGGTGGTTGTACCCGTCCGAGACGAAATATCACCATCCGCTCATAATCATGCACAATCTGTTAAAGTTACAAAGTATAACACATGAAATTTTTAACACAGCGTGAATGGTAAGAAGCTACATAAATATGGCATGAGATCTGCACATCCCCTATGAAAGCTTAAGAATAGCAATATTTTAATATAATTCCCAAAACAACATCAACATTTAGTGCCAAATTTACTGCCAAAGAACATAACTGTATCCCAAAAACATAACTCTCTCTCTCTCTCTATATATATATATATATATATATATATATATATTTACAGTATTTATTACCATATGTTTGTTGCGGGTGCATATGGAAAGGTTATATTAGGCTGCTGTGGCTTGCAGAGAACCATATACTGTATATAGCTGGTTGTGTATTACAGTGGTGGTAGGGTGCTGTATCTGTAGCCCCCAGATGTATTTAGATTTGCAGAAGATTTGTCCAAGTACACGTAAATGAATACTTAAAATAGAATTCCAGCAAAACTTACTACTCTTAAAAATGCTCCCTCCCCCTTCTAACTCCTATTTTGACTAACCTGTGTAAGAAAGATCTGTATACTATCCTATTTTCAGACCGGCCCTGTCACGTTATCTCCCACGTGTCAGCCAGCGCTGGCTACAGGGGAGGGAGCTCAACAATAGCTGGTAATGCTTGGCAGTGGTAAAAACACTCATAGGCCTCTATGGCCCATTCGTTGTTGGCGCTCCCTCCTCTCTCCGACCACATGACCTGAGCAGAGCGAGCTGAAAATAGATAAGCATACAGATCTTTTTTACACATTAGTCAGAGTAGGTGTTAAGAGGGGGGGAGGTAGCATTTTTAAGAGTAGTTAGGTTACGTAGGATTCTACTTTAAAGCAAAACCAAACCCATTGGTTTGCTTTACCAACAGCTATATTTAAGGCATGCCATGACTAATTACTGTCACAGCTGCTTGTGCTCTCTACCAAACTGTCAAGCCATCAAATAGCTGGTTTTATAACTGTTCACATGTGTGGCACCATGGCAACTGCAGCTCAAACAGAGGCTAAGATGGCAGCTTCCCTGGATGTAAAAGACAGGATGGTTTAGTTCCAATTTATTTAAATTTAGCTATTAATTCTATCTTTATAAGTGTGTAGGTATGGTGCTTTTTATTCTTAATATAATTTGAACACTTATCTAAATCCTTTATTGTGCTTTTTAAGAAATAATCAGGCATATTGAGTTTATTCGTTCTAAGCAAATTATTCTACTAAGAAGTGATCTGTGGGGTTGTACAGAACAGAATAGCTGGCATCTGATGCTATGAATAATACTTCCAATTTTTATATAACAGCCCCATAAACCTATAATACATTTCAGGTGATGTTCCTTTACGAAACATGTTGTATTAATTGATAATTCACTTCAGTAGATGAAATTGGATAATCAGATGAAGAGTAGAGCTCAGCTTATTCCAGTTGTCCACTTCCCTTAATATGGAAAAATCGGTGTATGCTTCAGTTAGCCTTTCACCAGCAATGAACATCCCTTATTCATTTAGTTTTCTCTGATAAAAATACCACAGAAAGTAAACAATAAATCAATCGGCAATTTCCATAAAATAAATATAAGAACTAAATACAAACTCTCACTAAAACCACCCCCAAGAAAAGTCACACTTTCACCCTTGAAAGCAAAAATACTGCTAAAACCTTTTCTCTTTAAGAAACTCAAACCCCTAAACCAAAAAATACCAAACAATATAAAAATAAAATAAAATTAATACCAAAATATATATAAATAAAATATATAAATAAATAGTCCAAAATGACTATCCAAAAATTAGTGTCCAAAAATAATATCCAAATAGGAGTAGTCCACCAAAATATTTCAATCCCGTATGTCCAACTTTATTTCTCCATTCCAGACCACGTGATACCTCGAGGAAAATATAACTAAAATAGTGTATTACCTTCAAAAATCACTTAAATGTATATACCTTTAAGCAAATTAGTATATACTATATTAGTACAAAATAATTAATACCAAATTCAACTGTGAGTGACACGTGAATCATGCAAAAAAATCACTCTGTGCAAACTCCAATAAACGTGAAATATAGTGTACACTCAAATGAATAAAAGAAAAATTAAATTAAATTATATAAAACCATATAAAGTGAAACAAATCAATCAATAAATCAGTGAAGCGAACACTCCATGACCACCTCTAAATGGTAAGATTAAATGCAATTACCCTCATGGAGTAATATCAAGCTTAACAGGATGTATACAGCAGTCAATCCCAAGCTTCCATCTACTGTATATATAGTAACCTTTAACTCTCCAGATTCCTCATAAAAGGTAAAAAAAGAGACCCGTGTAGCGCATATATATATATATATATATATATATATATATATATATATATTATATATATATATATATATATATAATAGAGATATTTAATACATATCTTACATTGGGGATAGTATTGTGCAGCATCACAATTTCAGACTAGTTTCATGGCTCAAACACACGTTTTTCCAGTTCTCAAAATGGCCGTGCGGCCATTTTGAGAACTGGAAAAACGTGTGTTTGAGCCATGAGACTAGTCTGAAAATGTAAGATATGTATGAAATGTCTCTATATTCTATATATATTCTTTATATACATGCTTTTCACGTTTATTGGAGTGTACACAGTGATTTTTTTTTTTTTGCATGATTCACGTATCACTCACAGTTGAATCTGGTATTAATTATTTTGCACTAATATAGTATATACTAATTTGTTTAAAGGTATATACATTTAAGTGATTTTTGAAGGTAATACACTATTTTAGTTATATTTTCTCGAGGTATCACATGGTCTGGAATGGAGAAATAAAGTTGGACACACGGGATTGAAATATTTTGGTGGACTACTCATATTTGGATAATATTTTTGGACGCTAATTTTTGGATAGGTATTTTGGACTATTTATTTATATATATATTTTGGTATTAATTTTATTTTATATTTATATTGTTTGGTATTTTTTGGTTTAGGGTTTGCGCTTCTTAACTTGTTGCCAACCGCAGATAGCCGAATGACGGCTCCACTGCGGCCGGCCAGTTCTGAGTGGACGTCATATGACGTCCCCCCAGAACGCGCTCTCCTGCGCGCCCCAGGGGGCGCGCACCCGGCGATCTCCGTGATCGCTGTGTCCTACGGACACAGCTGATCACGTGATGTGGTAAAAGGCCAATCACAGCGGCCTTTTACCACGTGATCAGCGGTGTCCAATGACACGCTGATCAGAGGGAAATGCAAGTGCCAGTTCTCGGCTGCACTTTCCTCACGCTGTCAGATCGCGAGGAAAGTACTGCCGAGAACCGGCAGTTGTCAGAGCGGGGATCGGCACCGATCATCAGGGCACTGATGATCAGTGCCCTGATGATCGGTGCCCAGCAGTGCCACCCGCAAGTTCCGCCCACCTGTGCCCAGCAGTGCGCCCACTAGCTCCGCCCACCTGTGCCCAGCAGTGCACCCACCTGTGCCACTCTGCAATGTCACACACCTGTGCCCACCCACCTGTGCCCACCTACCAGTGCTGCCCACCAGTGCCACCCACCAGTGCAGCCCAGCAGTGCTGCCAGTCAGTGCCCAGCAGTGATGCCAGTCAGTGCTGTCTATCAGTACCCATCATCAGTGTCACCTATCAGTGCCGCCTATCAGTGCTGCATATTAGTGCCGCCTATCCGTGACACCTCATTAGTGCTGTCTATCAGTGCCGCCTATACGTGCCACCTCATTAGTACTGCCTATCAGTGCCCTTTAGAGCTGCCTATCAGTGCCCATCAGTGCCGCCTATCAGTGCCCATCAGTGCTGCCTCATCAACGCACATCAGTGAAGGAAAAAAATTACCTGTTTGAAAAATTTTATAATAGAAACAAAGAAACGTTTTTTTTTTTTTAATTTTTGGCAATTTTTTATTTATAGCGCAAAAAGTAAAGTGCCCAGTGGCGATTAAATACCACCAAAAGAAAGCTCTATTTGTGAGAAAAAAATGATCAAAATTTCATATGGGTACAATGTTGCATGACCGCGCAATTGTCAATCAAAGTGCGGCAGCGCTGAAAGCTGAAAATTGGCCTGGTAAATAAGGGGGTATAAGTGCCTGGTAGGCAAGTGGTTAAAGAGAAAAGGTTTTAGCAATACCACAGAAAGTGTTTTGTTATATCTATTTGAGAAGTAAAAATTCCCATTAATCCTGCCCAGCTAGAAATCTTGTGAACTAATAACCTGAGTTCTCTGCCTATGTTGACTGTTCCCAGTTAGCATTAACAGCTATCTCTGTGGACTACAAAAACCTCCCCTCTATGTTATGGAGAAGGGGAGAGGGGAAGGTATTCTGTAGTCTTGTCCTAGAGTAACAACACTGTGCTTCTATAGCTACAGAACCAGGTATATATGATGTTACCCTAGGGCAGAACATTTGTTACTGGAAGTCACAAATAAAGGAAAAAAGCATGACTAAGGCAAACCGATGCAGCCACCACAGCTATGGACTGATGAGATGTAATTAATAACATTTTTGTTCTTTGGTTGTAAAGGGTGAAGGTTTTTTACCTTCATGCATTCTAGGCAATAAGGTAAAAAACCTTCAGTGTTCAGCTGCCCCCCCCGCAGCCCTCCTGTGCCAGAAGCGCCAGTGAGGAACACGAGAAGAGAGAATCAGTTCTGCGCTGTGCAAAACCATATTATTAAAGGGAAAAAAACCTTTTATAGCCACTTTATATAAAGGGACGATGAAGTAAGGATTGTAAGCAAAATTTTACCTTAATGGAAAACCAAATGGAAATCGGCAAGGTGATGATCATCATCAGGTAACACAGGCAGGTGATCGCTGTATGACAAAACTTCATCAGCCATGTGATGGATTTAGCTATGGTGAACAAGGGTGTAAATGAGTTTACACAAAATTGTAGACATAAATCATAGTAAAAGATGGACATAAGATACATAGGAGGGCATCAGTTCTGTTGCAAAGCAAAGCTGAACAGGAGAGTGAGACAGTATGAGACAGATTTACTATAAGCTTGATTCATACATTCCTCCCTAAGCTGCTCTAGAAGCAGCACTGCAACAGAATGAAACCGGTCCCAAACATTTGTTAAAGGAGAAGTGCAGAATGTCAAAATAATAAAACATACATACTCCCTTATGTGGCTGCAGCATTGATCTGATGCTGCAGCTGCCCCCTAACGGTTCTAAGACCGAGAACCGAGCGATCACATGAACACTGATTTCTTAAGCTTCAATGAGCAGGGAGAAGTGCCTGTCATCCACCATCTCTCTGCTCTGCCTCTCCAGGGATCACTGGAGCACTGGGCTGTGGAGGAGGGGGGCAGCAGCTGGCTCAGGCAGCTGCCAGTCAGGCATCAAGGGGGTCCCAATATTATTGTCAGGATGCACATGCGCAGCTCAGTTTACATTCATGCACACTGCCAGTGTGTCGAGATGACTGCATTCCCACGCATGTGCGAAGTAATGTCACCGCAAATGCCATTGCAAACCAATCAAAATGGCTGACAACTAGCACCGAAAAGAACCCAGCGAGGAACTTCACGGGTGTCAAACTGTAGGCACTAAAGCATGAGTGCCTTTAGTTCCACTTTAAGAAGAAAATGTAAAATAGCAAGCTACGGTATACATTGACCATCCATATGAAGACGGTTTAAACTCCAACTTTAAAGTGGTTCTAAAGGCTGAGGTTTTTTTACCTTACTGCATTCTATGCATAATCATAAAAAACATTCAGTGTGCAGCCCCCCCCCCCGCCTCCCTAATGCTTACCTGAGTGTACAAGAGAAGCAGCTCTGCCCTGTTTCTGCCTCCTGAGACACAGCAGCGGGAGCCATTGGCTCCTGAATCTGTCAATCACAACCAGTGAAGAGGGGGTGGGGCCCAGCGGCACTCTTATGGACACACAAGAGACAACTCAGGAGTGAGCATGCACAAGTGCCCCCAGAGCAAGCAGCTTGCTCAGGGGTCACTCAGCAGGAGGGAGGGGCCAGGAGCACTGGCAGGGGAACCCAAGATGAGGAGGAACAGGGCTGCTCTAGGCAAAACCATTTCACAGAGCAGGGAAGTAGAACGTGTTTATTATTTTTTACACATTAAAATTATGACTTTAGTGTGAATTTAAAGCCCCAAATCTTCCCTTGCAGTTGGGCAATGGTAAATGCTTGATTGGGTCTAGGAGACAGACAAAGCACCTTTATTTGATCCTCTGCTCTCCCCAGCAGATGGTGCTTCCCTATATTCCAGAGGTTGACTGTTCCTCGGCATCATCATGTCCACTGCAGGGCTATGGGCTGAGCATCAGTCTTGATGACATCAGAGGGCATCCGATCACTGGAGCATAGGGGGGAAGAGGCTGAGGAGAGTGGTTTTGCACTTATAGACGTGAAGGATCAGATAGCCGGAAACTGCTTTTCCCAGTACCCTAGACACAAGACCCATGGCCAGGGAGGATCTGTCCTTTGTCCTTCCAGCTTTAAGAACATTACCAGATTTTGCAGTGTTGGATGGCTGGGGCTCCACGCTCTGGGGTTGACTGGTGTATCTGTACTGAGACCACATCTTGGATAGACAGGACCTCTTTATACACTCTGCAGAACAATCACAAACATGTCATGGCAGTGTACAGTCCTATGCGTCATTCATCAGTCCTATGCATTCATCAGCCTATGCGTCATTCATCAGCCCTATGCGTCATTCCCTATCAGTCCCATGCGTCATTCATCAGCCCTATGCGCGTCATTCATCAGTCCTATGCGTCATTCATCAGTCCCATGCTTCATTCATCAGCCCTATGCGTCATTCATCAGCCCTATGCGTCATTCATCAGTCCTATTCATCAGCGTCATTCATCAGCCCTATGACAACAACAGATACAGACTGGAACCTGGAATAAGAATAAAGAGCTCACCCATGGAGATCACAGGGAAGGGGCTAGACCTCTTCATTAGACAGGATGAAGACACAAATCTGAACAGACAGAGCTAGAAATAACGAACGCTGCACCGTCTCTTTGTTGTTGCTGGGGAAGATTTCCATAACACCAGTGACAGTACGGTCACATGACAACTGCAGCAAGTGTCTCCAGTTCCTCGAATAGAAAAGTATAGTGACGTCCATTTTGTTGAAGACAAACGTCTGTGCATGTTTACCAGACAAGCTCCAGGAAAGCCTCCAGTGCGGAGGACACACTCAGCATACCATATTATTCTATACCATGGAAAGCAGGAAATCAGAAACAGCATGCTCTGGTGTTAGGAGGCTATGAAAGCAATGACTCGAATTTATGCTTTGTGCTGCTTGTCACATTGTGAATATTTGTTATTATTGTGTTTAACAAAGTGAGCAAACACCAAGCATAGAAAGCTGATTGAGCATGCGTCTGTCATTAAAGCATATTAAACCCAAAAGCAGACATGTATAATATTGCAGCTTGCTAGTTTTTAAATGTGATGGCCTGCATGTGATCCAGCCAGCAAGACTGTTGCTTTTCACAAGCTCAAGTTCTCCAGCAGAATGTATCAGTTTGCATGGATGCAACAAACCACTTAAAGCAGAAGAAGACTAGATGACTACAGGGAGGGAGAGGAGAGGACAATTTCTGGTTCCGATCGCCTAGGCGACCACAGTGGAAGTGAGAGCGGGTACCTGTCAATTTCGGGTACCCACTCCCCAAAGGTACCAATAATTAACGGGGGACCAGTCTTTAAAGTGGAACCTCCCCTTTAGCATGGCCTTAACACTAGCAGGGGTGATTAAAATGATCAACTTTTATTTATTTATGCAAAACTTCCCAAAAGGAAAAAAACGTGTGCTGTGATTATAAAGTGGAAGCTGGAGGGTTTTTTGTTTGTTTTTTTTTGTTTTTAAATAATCAAGTTTTATTAAGGTTTCCAGACACTACAATAAAAAAAGGTGCTTGAAGTACAGAATCAGGCATATTCATGAAGTACACTGCTCAAAGATATTAAAGGAACACTTTTTAATCAGAGTATAACATCAAGTCAATTAAACTCCTGGGATATTGATCTGTTCAGTTAAGTAGCAGAGGGGGTTGTTAATCAGTTTCAGTTGCTTTGGTGTTAATGAAATTAACAACAGGTGCACTAGATGGGCAACAATGAGACGGCCCCCAAAACAGGAAAACAGGAATGGTTTTACAGGTGGAGGCTGCGGACGTTTTTTCCCTACTCATCTTTTCTGCTTTTCATTAGTTTTGCACTTTGCTAGGGTCAGTGTTGTCGCAAACGTGTGCATCAGAGATGGACGCGGTTCAACCATTTTATTAGGCATCTCCATTTTCTTTCATCTTGCCACCCCTCCCTCTCACTGAGAGGAGACATCTGGCCATGTGTGTATGTGTACTGCTTATGGATCACTGGCAGGGCAAGGCATCCCTAGTTCGGTGCCGAGCAGTCTGCAAAAGTGTAGCCTTTCTCACCTAGGCCAGGATAAGGCCAGAGTTCCCAAGAGAATTGGAGCCTCACTGACTAATGTGCCTGTGTAGTTTCACACCTCGTAAAACAGATAACGAGCCTTCCCAGAAGTTGAAAGAAATGCTGACCTGATGAACCTAACCCAGTGGAGATGACAGAATCAGATAAACTCTGTTAAACTCCATTTTTCCACTGTCTCATATCTTAGAATATGAGAGACTTACCTAAAAACCAGACATCCCATCAGATTGGCTAGGAGCAGGCGAACAGTTTGATGGGTCATTCAAATTATCTCGGACCATCAGGGGAGCCGAAAAATAGAACTCATGAACCGTGCAACATATAAATTCATAATTCATATCTAGATAATCCTCAGACTTGCCTGCATAATAATATACCCACGGGTGGAATGTCACTTGTGCAGCTGGAAAGTTATGGACCAGAATATTAATTATGAAAGATGTTGGCTCCAGTTTAGGGTTTCACCTGACGATCCCTCCCTCAACAGGGGATTGGTCTTTTTACTTCAGAACCACCCCTTGCTGGGAAACTTTAAAGCAGGCTGTCAAGCCTAAGGGGCTGAGTTGAAGAATTCTCCCATTTTTTCCATCGTAACATAGGGAGATCAAAGCACCTTCCTGCTCTGACTTGGATCTGCTAAACCCAAGACTTTGGCAAGTACTTTAACCCTTTCACCTCTCTCTGATATCTCTTTACTGTGCTGTGGTTCCCTGTATATTTATATATATATCTTAGTTACATCTTCTCTGTAAATATTTTATTGCACCTGTTTGACCCTTTTAGTAATAAATCTCTCTTACTGAAAGTGTTGAACTGTTTCTATAGTTCTTAATTGCAATTTACGAATCCCTGCCTTTGAAGAGATGCTACTGTTTGTTTAAACCTCTGTATAACCGGCCTGCGGACTGTTTTATACAGACGATTATTTCAATCATTATAGTGTTATAACTGATAACGCGAGTTTCCGCTTTCTCTGTACAAAAAGGAGGTGGTGGCAGTGTGGAGGGTTAGTTGCGTAATTAACCCGACCCAGTAACAATCGCTCAGGTTGCAGGTACATAGATTGTAGTCCATTAGCTGGAAAATCTTTGTGCAGGGTGCAGCTGGGCGTGGTATTGTTAATCACATCACATCGCGGTTTTAGATTGGCTAGTCCTTCGGTCACGAGTTTGGTGAGAAGGTCTGGGTTCTGACGCCGCAATCGTGACATATTGGTGGCAGCGGTCGTGGGATTGTCGTATGTTGGTGGCGGCGATCTTGCGATCGTAACAAGTGTCACTACTGGTAGCATGAGGCGATACCTGGACCCTACAGAGGTTGCACAGGCAGTCCAACTCCTCCAGGATGGCATATCAATACATTCCATTGCCAGGAGTTTTGCTGTGTCTCCCAGCACAGTCTGGAGAGCATGGAGGAGATTCCAGGAGAGAGACAGTTACTCTAGGAGAGCTGGACAGGGCCGTAGAAGGTCCTTAACCCATCAGCAGAACCGGTATCTGCTCCTTTGTGCAAGGAGGAACAGGATGAGCACCACCAGAGCCCTACAAAATGACCTCCAGTAGGTCACTGGTCTGAATGTCTCTGACCAAACAATCAGAAACAGACTTCATGAGGGTGGCGTGAGGGCCCGATGTCCTCTAGTGGGCCCTGTGCTAATTGCCCGGCACCATAAAGCTCGATTGGCATTTGCCATTGAACACCAGAATTGGCAGGTCCACCACTGGCGCCCTGTGCTTTTCACAGATGAGAGCAGGTTCCCCCTGAGCACGTGACAGACGTGAAAGGGTCTGGAGAAGCCATGAAGGTTATGCTGCCTGTAACATCATTCAGCATGACTGTTTTGGTGGTGGGTCAGTGATGGTCTGGGGAGGCATATCCATGGACGGACGCACAGACCTCTACTGGCTAGACAATGGCACCCTGAATGCCATTAGGTATCAGGATGAAATCCTTGGACCCATTGTCAGAGCGTACGCTGGTGCAGTGGGTCCTTGGTTCCTCCTGGTGCACAACAATGCCCGGCCTCATGTAGTGAGAGTATGCAGGCAGTTCCTGGAGGATGAAGGAATTGATACCATTGAATGGCCCCCATGCTCGCCTGACCTAAATCCAATGGAACACCTCTGGGATATCATGTCATGGTCCAACTGACGCCTCCAGGTTGCACCTCAAACTGTCCAGGAGCTCAGTGATGCCCTGATCCAAATCTGGGAGGAAAGACCCCAGGACACCATCCGTCGTCTCATTAGGACCATGTCCCGACGTTGTCATACAAGCACGTTGGGGCCATGCAAACTACTGAGTAACATTCTGAGTTGCTGCAATTAAATTTCAGCAAAATGGACTAGCCTGCTGCATCATTTTTTTCACTTTGTTTTTCGGGGTGTCTTTTGAATTCAGTCCTCTGTAGGTTGATAATTTTCATTTCCATCAAACGATGGGGCATTCTTATGTTCCTGACACATTACCCAGTCCATATCAGTATAGATATCCAGCATGATATTTTTTCTCATTGAGATCGGATGTGTTTTCAAAGTGTTCCTTTAATTTTGTTTGAGCAGTGTACATGATGTACAGCAGGGGTGTTCAACCTTTGGCCCACGAGCTGTATGTGGCCCAAGGAGCCCTCTGATGTGGCCTTCAACCTCAAAGCAAGGAAGCACACTTCTATTATATCCTGCTGGTTTGGTGCGCTTTCTGAAAAACCAAAACTTCTAAATGCAGGAATTTTGGTGCGCTTTCAGAAAGTGCACCACACCCACAAGATATAATAGATGTCTATGGCCAAGCGCTGCTAGCCCGTAGGAAAGCTGCAGGTGCAATGGTCTGCACCTGCAGTGCAATTAAACTGCAGCACATCAGTGTGAAAGCCATCTTATAGGGGGCTCAGGACAGTAAGGGCTCATTTACATTTAAGCCCCATAGTCAAGATGTGTTTTTTACCCCCCCCCCCCACCACTGGTGTAGCATAAGGGGTTGCAGTGGTGACCCTGCTCCATGCTCTAGGGGACCTGTGCAGCCTCCCTGTCACCCTTGTATAGGAGGGGCAGAGGGGGCAGCATACACAGGAACCAATCCTCACCATTTTTCTCCTGCATCCTCTGGATTCTAGTTTCTCCCCTCTCTGTCTCGCCAGCATTCAGCAGCTGCAGGAGGAAAATGCAGAGGGCGCACTGACCTAGTGCATTATCCTTTAAAATCATAAATTTAATGTAAAAAAGTAGGTGTTATACCTACAAAAGTCAAAAAGGTGCAAATACATCTGATGGTTACAGCACAGAAAGTCCACAAAACATTAAAGTGTACAGAAACGATGGAACATCTATAGGCTAACACGTTTCGAGCACTTGGCCTCTTCCTCAGAGCCTATCGAGTTAATAGCTGCTCCTGAGGCGATATATGGTGTTAAAGTAGAGCCACCAATCAGTCAAGGGGTGTCTCCAGACCACCCCTATAGGCGGGGATAACCTCTGCGCATAGCACACTCCATGCACTCATCAGTCCTCTTTACTCATTTTTCTGGGTCTTTCTATGCCCCGGCCACACATACAGTGGGGCAAAAAAGTATTTAGTCAGCCACCAATTGTGCAAGTTCTCCCACTTAAAAAGATGAGAGAGGCCTGTAATTGACATCATATGTAGACCTCAACTATAGAGAGACAAAATGAGAAAAAAAAATCCAGACAATCACATTGGCTGATTTGGAAAGAATTTATTTGCAAATTATGGTGGAAAATAAGTATTTGGTCAATATCAAAAGTTCATCTCAATACTTTGTTATATATCCTTTGTTGGCAATGACGGAGGTCAAACGTGTCCTGTAAGTCTTCACAAGGTTGGCACACACTGTTGCTGGTATGTTAGCCCATTCCTCCATGCAGATCTCCTCTAGAGCAGTGATGTTTTGGGGCTGTGGCTGGGCAACACGGACTTTCAACTCCCTCCAAAGGTTTTCTATGGGGTTGAGATCTGGAGACTGGCTAGACCACTCCAGGACCTTGAAATGCTTCTTAAGAAGCCACTCCTTTGTTGCCCGGGCGGTATGTTTGGGATCATTGTCATGTTGGAAGACCCAGCCATGTTTCATCTTCAATGCCCTTGCTGATGGAAGGAGGTTTGCACTCAAAATCTCACGATACATGGCCCCATTTATTCTGTCCTGTACATGGATCAGTCCTCCTGGTCCCTTTGTGGAGAAACAGCCCCAAAGGATGATGTTGCCACCCCCATGCTTCACAGTAGGTATGGTGTTCTTTGAATGCAACTCAGCATTCTCTCTCCTCCAAACACAACGAGTTGTGTTTCTACCAAACAGTTCTATTTTGGTTTCATCTGACCATATGACATTCTCCCAATCCTCTTCTGGATTATCCAAATGCTCTCTAGCAAACTTCAGACGGGCCCGGACATGTACTGGCTTAAGCAGGGGACACGTCTGGCACTGCAGGATCTGAGTCCCTGGCGGCATAGTGTGTTACTGATGGTAGCCTTTGTTACATTGGTCCCAGCTCTCTGCAGGTCATTCACTAGGTACCCCCGTGTGGTCCTGGGATTTTTGCTCACCATTCCTGTGATCATTTTGACCCCACGGGGTGAGATCTTGCGTGGAGCCCCAGATCGAGGGAGATTATCAGTGGTCTTGTATGTCTTCTATTTTCTAATTATTGCTCCCACAGTTGATTTGTTCACACCAAGCTGCTTGCCTATTGCAGATTCAGTCTTCCCAGCCTGGTGCAGTTCTACAATTTTGTTTCTGGTGTCCTTCGACGGCTCTTTGGTCTTCGCCATAGTGGAGTTTGGAGTGTGACTGTTTGAGGTTCTGGACAAGTGTATTTTATACTGATAACAAGTTCAAACAGGTGCCATTGATACAGGTAATGAGTGCAGGACAGAAGAGCCTCTTAAAGAAGAAGGTACAGGTCTGTGAGAGCCAGAAATCTTGCTTGTTTGTAGGTGACCAAATACTTATTCTCCACCATAATGTGCAAATAAATTCTTTCCAAATCAGCTAATGTGATTTGTCTGGATTTTTTTTCTCATTTTGTCTCTCATAGTTGAGGTCTACCTATGATGCCAATTACAGGCCTCTCTCATCTTTTTAAGTGGGAGAACTTGCACAATTGGTGGCTGACTAAATACTTTTTTGCCCCACTGTACCGCTCTGTCAATTGGAGGGGCTGTCTGCAAAGCCCCTTGTGCTCATTCCTCCAGAGTGGGGTCACTCTAATACATGAGATGTGTTAGTGGCCAGATCACCAGGTGAAAACAGAGGGGAAAAAAACAAAAGAAAAAAAACAATGAAGCCACCATATCTAGTGGTTGGTAAGCTGCAAAATAATACATTTTTGGTTTTAGTTTAATACCGCTTTAACCACAAGCCTACAGGGCACTTATACCCCCTTCCTGCCCAGGCCAATTTCCAGCTTTCAGCGCTGTCGCACTTTGAGTGACAATTGTGCGGTCATGCAACACTGTACCCATATGAAATTTTTATCATTTTTTTTTGTGACAGAGCTTTATTTTGGTGGTATTTAATCACCTCTGGGTTTTTTATTTTTTCTTAAACCAAAAACCGCTGAAAATTTTGAAAAAAAAAAAACGTTTTTTTTCTTAGTTTTTGTTATAAAATGTTGTAAATAAGTGATTTTTCTCCTTCACTGATGTGCGCTAATGAGGCTGCAGTGATGGGCACTGATAGGCTGTACTGATGGACACTGATAGGTGGCACTGATGGGCACTGATGAGGAGGCACTGGTAGGTGGCACTGATGGGCATTGACAGGCATCACTGATGGGCACTGAAAGGCAACACTGATACATGGCTCTGATATATAATTCTGATAGGCGGCACTGACTGGCACTGATAGGCGGCACTGACTGGCACTGTTAGGCGGCACTGACATGCACTGATAGGCAGCACTGATAGGTGGCACTGATTGGCAGCACTGATAGGTGGCACTGATTGGCATTGATAGGTGGCACTGACTGGCAGTGATGGGTGACACTAAAGACAGCTCAGATGGGCACTGATATGTGGCATTGATGTGCACTGGTAGGCACTGATATGTGGCATTGATGTGGCACTGATGGGCACTGGCACAAGGCACTGATGAGCACTGATACAAGGCACTGATGGACACTGACAGGTGGCACTGCTGGGGCTACACTGATCATCAGGGCACACTGATCATCAGTGCCCTGATGATCAGTGTACATGTCCCCTCCACGGAAAGCCGATTATCGGCTCTCTTCTCCTCACGAGCTGCCAGCGTGACAGCTCGAGAGGAGAGAAATGCCAATAACCGGCATTTCCCTGTTTATATGTGATCCGCTGTGATTGGACATAGCTGATCACATGACCGAGCCGACATCTTCGGCTCTTTCCGTGATCAGTGATCCACTGTGTCTGAGGGACACAGTGCACAACCGATCGCCGCGCTGCTCGCTGCACGCTCCCTGAGCCACGCATCCCAGAACGAGAGAACCACCTTGCATCCGTCATATTACTATATGGTGGGTGGGAGGTGGTTAATACACAGCCCATGACACTTATTTTGTGGGCTTTATTACTAAGACATTTAATACATCTCTTGAATTGTGATTTCCCTGGATTATCCAACATAAGTATAGCACTACCCCCTGAAGGGTCCCTGAGTTATTTTTTGGGTTCCCCGTCGCTCTTTACCCCACTCTGAAAGCCCAACCTTTGCTGACACCACCGTGCACTTCTGACCAAAGAAAAAAACTCTCTCAATATTACCAGAAAATAGACTGACACACAAGTTAGAGTGAACTGATATTTTGTTTCTATTAAAATTGAGTATGTTCATAATAAAAGCAGCACAAAATTATAGACGTGTACATAATAACAGTTGTCACTCTTAGTAACTTTAAGGAAAGGTCAACACATATAGCAAGAATCTCAATCAGTTCTGGACAACCTGCAATTCAAAATGTAACCAAAGACGTCTCTGAGATGTTTCTGTCCCAAGTGAGCAAAGGAAAATTATTAAAGAGTAAGGCTAGCTCACTTTGGGTCCTCGGAAGCTGATGACAAGGTTCAAGTCTGAGGTAAGGAAAGAGCTGTTGAATTAGGAAGGCTAATGTCCCTTTAACTGCAGTGTAAGGTCCCCTGCGTGGGGCGCAGTTGGTGAACTACAAGAATTTAACAACAAAGTCCTGCGGTTCAGCCTACATAATCCATAAAGCTTTTTACCCAAGTGTGTGCCACTGAGTTGCAGGACACTGCCATCTTGTGTCTTTTAACTACTTTCCGCCCGGCCTATAGTCAAATGACGGCCAGACGAACCTCTCGGCCCTCCGGGAGGGCGTCATATGATGTCCTTCACGAATCGCACATTGTGCGCGAGATCTAACACAGCCGATGACATATCTGTGTACCCCATTGCCAGTACCATGTGACCTGCTGTGACCAATCACAACAGGTCACATGACAGTTGTATACAATGGATGGCTTCCTTTCATGCCATCCATTGTATACAAGTTTGTTTAGCTGTGTTTGGTCACAGTGATCACAGTGATCACATGCACAGGTTGGGTTAGTCACAGCCCATCTGTGTCATGTGATTAGCTGTGGACAATCACAGCTAATCACAACAAAAAAACCTGAATTAATCAATTTCATTCAGTTAAATGCTTGCTTATTGCAAACAAATTCTTTGCTATAAGCAATCAAATTGTGTAAAAAAAAAAAAAAAATACTGATCAGTTCCCCAAAGTAGTACAATGTTACTATGGTAACATTATACTACTTTGGTTATAGTGTAATATGAAAAAAAATCTTAAAGAGAGAAGAATTTAATAGAAAATGAAAAAATAAAACAAATTGAAAAAAAATTATAATTTTTTTTTTTTCATACTATCACCAGTCAGTGTCCCTGATCACCGCCACACCAGTTATATGATGACGTTGTACTGCACTGGTGACAGTATGTAAAAAAAAAATTGTGAAAATATAATTTTTTGGAAAATGAAGAAATTAAAAAAATTACAACTTCAAAAAACTCGCCATGCCTCTTATGAAATACATCGGACGGTCTACTTTGCAAAAAGGGGTCATTTGGGGGATATCTCTACTGTTCGGACATTTTTGGGCCTCAAGAAATTAGATTGGCTGTCAGTACTTCAATATTCAAATATATCCCATAGTTTGTGAACTCTATAACGTTCCTACAAACTAAATAATAAACACTAATTTGGTTTATTTTCACCAAAGAAACCTAGCAGAATACATCTTGGCCTAAATTTATGAAGAACATTTATTTATTTACAAACGTTTATAACAGAAACAAAGAAACGTGTTTTTTTTTTTTCAAAATTGTCAGTTTTTTTGTTAATTTAGCAAAACAATAAAAACCCCAGCGGTGATTAAATACCACCAAAAGAAGCTCTAGCTGTGTGAACAAAAAGATACAATTTTAGTTTGGGTACAGTGTTGCATGACCGCGCAAATGTCATTCAAAGTGTAAAAGCGTTGAAAACTGGCCTGGGCAAGAAGGGGGTAAAAGTGCCCGCTTTTTAAGTGGTTAACATCCTGTAGTCTGAATAATAGCAGGCTGTTACACAAGGATTCATGCACATGAACAAACTGAACTACTCCTATCAATGTGTGTTTACAAGCATATGGTGTTTATGAGCAAAAACTCATTCTGTTGGGTAGAATATTCATTTCTTCTGGCCACATGAATTTATTTACATGCATACACGCACGTTTTCCATGTGTAAAAATGATGCCAGCAAGCTGAGTTCAGACGCATAAAAAAAAATGAAAAATGATGCCTCTAAAAGCAGATTTTTTTTGCCAGTGTGCAGGAGTCCTAAAGCAAACTCTGCTATGCACTATTTACATTAACAAATACAACACCTTTCAAAAAAGTTTATGGCATCCATCTTTCTGTGTGACCATACAAAGAGCAATTTTACAAATGATCATTCCAAAATTAAATCAGTTCCTAAATTTAGCAAATATCAATGGAATATGTGGAGCAAATGGAAGTTTACTTTACACTTCCTCAATTCAGCACTGTATGGTTGCTTTTGATTTTTTTGCTGTATCAGTTATTGAGACACCCTAAAATTCCAAGTTTTTAGAGGAAACATTCACCTTTCTTCCTCTTTCAAAGAAAACAGAAGAGTGGATTTTTCTTACTAATGCAATCATTTTGAAATATGTTTCTATCAGGTGCGGACTGACCATTTGGAAACTCGGGCACTGCCCGAGGGCCCGGGGTTAGTAGGGGGCCCCATAAGATGCCCCTGGTACCTTTTTCATAGGCTTTTTTGAGTTTGGGCAAGGACACAGGGGCCCCATGATCCCCTATTGCCTGGGGGCCCCATGAGTTGTCAGTCTGCCCCTGGTTTCTATTTTTTTTTAATCTGCCATGTATAACTACCTTCTTAGAATATATTCCTCCTTCCATGCTGCTAAACAGATCTATTTCATCACTCCCATTAACACCCTCTCATCCAGTAATCAGCAGCTTTTTTCTTACTTTGTCCCCCACTGACACCAACTAACTCATTAATTGTGCAGGACATTGCCAGTCATTTAAGATGAGATCTACATTTTCCTGTTATCTCCCCTAATTAAAATACTATCTCTTCCACCACATTCAATACTTTCCTTCTTTGACCTTGTCACTACAGAGGAGGTTGCTAAACTCCTATCTGGACACCCAACTCATCACCTGCCCCCTAAACCCCGTTCCCCACAACTACTCCAGTCACCCACTTACTCTATTCTTTGCTCTCCCACAACTTCATTCTCTCCTTTTCTACTGGCATCCCCCTACCCTCTAAAACATGCATTTATTACCCCCACACGTGAAAAGCCCTCACTGGACCATACTAGTCTGAGCAACCTAAGACCCATTTCTTTGTTTTCATTTACCTCCAGAGTTCTGGAAAATCTATTCTACAACCATCTGAGGTGCTTCCTTACTGAGGACTGCCTTCTCAGCCCCTTAAAATCCATCTTTCACCCACAACACTCCATAGAAACTGCATTCCTAAAACTCATGAATGACTTTTTTGATTGATAAAACCAATGGTCACTACTCAATAGTCTTACTAATAGATCTTTATCTCACTCACTTGTTATCTTATCACCTTGAATACTTCAACTCCCTCCTCACTGGATCACCTCTACACAGGCTCTCCCCTCTTCAGTTTCTCATTAATGTTGTTGCCAGACTCATCCACCTTATCAACCACTCAGTGTCTACACTGGCTTTCGATTGCTCACCGAACAAATTCAGAAAATAACAACTTACAAGCCTTCCACACCTTTGCTGCCAGCTATATCACCAAGCTCGTTCCAAAATAACAAACAAATTATCCACTTCTCTCCTCCTGAAAACTCCTGCTCTCTAACTCCCTCATCACCTCCTCCCTTGTCATATATAGGACTTCTACATAGCCTCTCCCATCATCTGGAACCTTCTGTCCCAGCCTATATGGCTATATCCTCCTCTGTTCACCATTAGGTGGTCCCTAAAATCTTTTCAGGCAAGCTTATCCCCCAACCAACTAACAACTGAATTTTAATTTCTCTAACATCTCCTCCCCTTATAGTTATTACATTTTGTATCACTTGTGTGACGATCACGACGTCAGACCCCTGCCCTTCTCACCAAACTCGTGACCGAAGGACTAGCCAATCTAAAACCGCCTTGTCACGTATGTAACAATGCCATGCCCAGCTGTGCCCTGCACACAGATTTTCCAGATAATGGACCAGAGTCTGTGTACCGGCAGCCTGGAAATGATTGTTACTGGGTCAGGTTAATTACGCAATTAACCCTTCACACTGCCACCACCTCCTTTTTGTACAGAGAGAGGAAACTCGTCAATATCAGCAATAACACTATGATGGTTGAAATAATTGTCTGTATACCACTGTCACCGCAGGCAGGTTATACAGAGGGTTAAGCACACATAGTAGCGCTCTTCAGCGGCAGGAATTCGTACGTTGCATTAAAGAGCTTTAGAAACAGTTCAACACTTTCAGAAAGAAAGATTTATTATTAAAAGGTCAAAAGGGTGCAATAAAAATATTTACAGAAACAGATGTAGCCAATATATATATATAAATATACAGAGATCAACAGCACAGCAAAGAGATAACAGAAAGGAGTTTAAAGGGTTAAAGTACTTGCCAGTCAACCTTGGTTTGAAGCAGCTGCAAGTTTCATGACCAAAAGGATGCTTTGATCTCCCACTGCTAGTTTTGATGTTAAGGCAAGGAGATCTTCTTCTCTCTCTCTCACTCCAAGCATAACAGCCTTTTTCTAGGATCTCAGCAGGGTGTCTCCTTACAATCAGAGAACCAATTGCCTTATTTGGGGAGGGGTGTTGGGTGGAGACCTAAGTTATAACCAGAAACTCTCATAGCTTATATTTTGGCCCATAACTTTTCCTAGGTACATGTAACATTCCACCCACGGGTAGA